TAACTGGGAAGATGCCCGACCTTCCCCCTGGAGCAACCGTCTTCTGATTTTTCTCAGTGATTCATATACCACTGGAATAAAAAAATTGAACAAACAGCTGAGATTAGCCAAAACCAAGGGCTTTAATGTGGATTTATATTAGTGTGACGTTGACATTAAATTTGGTATTAAAGGTTTGGGGTCTCTCTGGGTTGACTCTGCCTTAAAGCCAGAAATTTTAGTTTTACTTCCGGAACCCCTTACAGGATCCTGGAAGTATCTAGAAAGCACACAAAGCTTTGCTATCTGTCTTTATCCAAGTCTTCTTGACGTTGGAGCTGCCTCCACTGCTCAGAAGAACACTGCCCACAGAAGAAAGCGCCTAGGATTGGATACAATTTAATGCAGTGTTTCTCAGCTTTAAGTTGAGAGGTTTAAGATGTGTGGACTTCAACTCCCAGAATTCCCTAGCCAGCCATGGGGAATTCTGGGAGTTGAAGTCCACACATCTTAAACTTGCCGAGGTTGAGAAACATTGATTTAATGTAAAAGCAAAAGACCAGCTTTGAGAATTTTAAATTGAACAAGCAGATAGGAGATGTTCTACAGCACAAGCCAAGTCCATGCTTTGGTGTCTCCAGGGAAACTGAGGCTCTCCTGCCCCATCCAGAAGTTTCTGCCCCCCCCTTCATTAGAGGAAAAGCCACAGAAGGTTGGGAGAGGCAAGCCACAACCACCTCACAGTTTTTTTCTGCCCTTCCTTCTTCAGAGTTAAGACAGCTTAGACCTGCCATTGTGGAGAGATGGGCACCCAGGCACCTTGTGTCCATCAGCTTTATTATCCCCAGGGACAACAATGCAGGGCCCAAACTTATACACGTAATTTAGCCCAATGCTTTCCATTGGGAGAAGTCACCAATTTATTATGTGAATCCATTTTAATTTGAATACTATGAGGACTCTAAAACAACGCTTAGACACTAAAGAGAGACTGAAAAGCCTGCAGACGTGACTAAGGTAGATTATCTGAGGCAAGAAAAATTATCCAATACATTTTTAAAAAGACTTTTTCTCAGATTGGAATCAGTGAAATAAAAACACTTCTAATGTGTTCAAACTCAATTTTTACTGAATACTTGAAATATTAAAGTAGTAATGAGGATTTAATGTTTTTATAAAATAATTTTACAGCACAGAGGTAGGGCTGTTCTGTTTCATAATCAATATCGTATAAAACAGTATTCAATTTAAAAGGAAACAAGAAAAAAGATTCTCTTCAAAAAAACAATGTGCAAGAAATTAAATGGGAACATTTTTCAGCAAATGCTTCTGAAAGAATTGCTTGAGAATTTACAGAATTAAGTTATACACTGAGTAAAAATTAAATAAAAATAATGAACTCTGTAACCTATTTGAGCTTATAACAGCTTCTGTAAGTTTTACTTATTTATTTAAGGGGTTTTTTTATATTCAGCCTGGATACTTTACAATAGAAGTAAGTCAAAAAGGATCTTTGGACGTATTTTTCATTATTTGGCATTTTTTCATTACATATTTTGGCACAATCTGTAGAACAGCCTTTCTGTGAATAGATGAATTTCCCCATAGCAGTCCTTGACTTATGACCACAATTGAATCCAAAATTTCTGTTGCTTATCGACATAGTTGCTAAGTGAGTTTTGCTTCATTTTATGACCTTTCTTGCCACATCTGTTAAGTGAATCACTGCAGTCGATAAATTAGGAACACGGTTGTTAAGTGAATCTGGTTTCCCCATTGATTTTGTTCATCAGAAGGTTGCAACAAGTGATCACGTGACCCCGGGACACTGCGACCATCAGAAATATGAGCCAGTTGCCAAGCGTCTGAATTTTGATCACATGATCATGGGGATGCTGCCAAGGTTGTAACTGTGAAAAATGGTCATAAGTCCCTTTTTCAGTGTTGTTGTAACTTTGAATGGTCACTAAATGAACTGTTGTAACTCAAGGATTACCTGTACATCTGGATCCTATCCAATCTATAATTTACTCATTCCCAGAAAGGGAGGGGGTGAAAGTTAGTTCCCAAGAGTTCCCATCTCCAGAGACCAAGATCAGCAAAACAAATTGCATCATAGTTCCACAGAAAGGTAATTCGCTTCTTTCTCTTAATATACAGAACAGACATTTACACCCACTTTGAGGATGCCAGAGTATCTAAAACATTGTATACAGAATGTATACAGAAAAGATACAAGAAATCAGTGGCATTTGTTTGCTAGTCTTTTTTTAATTGATTGGTTGATTTAAGTATTTGCCCAATTCCCTAACAACTCTGGGATTCTAAAAATTAATATTTGGGTTAAGCTTCCATGACTGTGTGAATCTTCCAGTCCTATCCACAACCAACACTCTAACCCAGTTCTTCCCAACATGGTGATCTCTGGACACACACGGACTTAAATCTAAACAATGTTGTACTCAAAATGATACGTTCTTAGAACAGAAAAGGGAAGTTGCAGAAGTAACAAAGATGTTTCCATTTCTTTCATGTTCCTCTTATTTTGACCACATTTTTCTCAGCATCACTTCAAGGATGGAGCTGAAATGTCATTTCACATGCTCCTGTCTCTTTCTTTGTCCAAGCCTTCTTTTCTTTTGCCTACACAATGCAACACAACTTGATGGAATGTGCCATCTATGTGATATTGTGGATGTCACTATTCTGCTTGAGAAAGGGTGATGTCATGGAAACACATGAAGATGGTTACAGTTAGTACAGTTCACTAAGAATTTAAGCAAAGAAGCCAAGAATTGTGGAGGATCAAGAAGAATCAGCCACTTCAATCAAACAGCCCAGAACAAATCAACAGTAAAACAACACAAATGTTCAGGAGGCGAATAATATTTTAGCAATCTATTCAGCTGCCTCCAACTTTTGAAACAAATATCATACTTTTAGAACATTCTGTGCAGCCCTACAAATGTCACTCTGGCATTCATTAACAATATTCCTCCAAGTCTCTGCAGTGGGTGAAGTTACCACATCTGACACAGCAAACAAAATATGTTGCTTAGTTAACGCAAGCGCTCATAGATTCTGTTTTGCCTTTTTTAAAGAGCTGCCCGTCAAAATAGTCCATCAAAGCAGAACAAAATGCTCTGGACTTCACAAAACGTTTGACAACCACCAAAAAAAAGCTTCGACAACACCTGCTGTTGCAAACACATATATTTTATATATTTTTTAAATCTTCGTTTCCAACAGGTAAATGTAATCAAGGTTTATATGCTCAGAGAAGCCAACAGGATGGGATTGTTGCACTTGAAGGATCAGAAGAAAATTGTAACTAATGTTGTGGAAAATTACTTTGATATTGCTTTCTCAGTACAGGATTACAATTAGGTTGCAATGTGAAGCAATAAATGAATGGTAACAAATCAACACAAACAGCCACTGTCAGGAGTAGTTTGGTGATGGGAAATAATGTAAGCATTACTTAAAAGTTTTATGATTCTCATTTAATTTGCATCATGTTTGCTCAGGCTATAAACAAACTACCATCTCTAGAGCAGACATAAAAACTGAAGAACAAAACTATCTTGTGTTAACTTTGCTTCAGAAACTTCTTAGGTGAGTGCCATCAAGTCAGGTCTGACTTTGACAACTGCATGGACAAATCCCTCACTCCCTTGATTTGTTCCCAGACATCATCCAGAGCTGTTCCAGGGAGATTCTAGTGACCTCCCAGATTCAGTCTATCCCATTTAATTTTCCCCCCTTTGTTTTCCTCAACCATGTCAAGCAAGAGTTTTTTCTAGCCCACACACAACACATGGTCACCATCTCTAATTAACTGGACTGACAATATTAATAGTGATTATTTTCTCCTCAGAAAAGGAATGAATATTTTCTCCTTGGGAGTATCCTGGGGTGGCACTTTTGTGGAAATACACATAAAATCAGAGGTCATTCTAAGTGAGCTGAGGTGGGATCTGGCACTGCATTTCAGCTTCACATTAATATTTTCCCTACCCTAGTAACATTTGATGGGAAAATCTTGTGTGTGGCTAGTTCAGATAGTACCATTTTGGTACGGGGAAAGTTTTTGTCAGACACCTAGAAACATTATAAACCAGTCAAAAGTATTCCATTGCTTTTCAGCCAAACTTAGGCAAGAGTGCAAAGCCTAGTCCTCATGAAACCCCAAAAGACTGTTTCTAACATCTTGAAAGGGCAGCTCAATTCCTAACCAAAGCTTATGAATCCTCTCCGGACCACTTAAACCAAACGTGGCAGATTCTCTTTATATACTTCAACCTTCCCCAGCTTGACAACTACTAGATCTGTTGGGATTTCAACATGTGGCAATCCTAGCCAATTTGAGAATTCTGGGAATTACAGATGCAAAGAAACTCAAGAACACCAGATTAGTGAAAGTAGTATGCCGATGAATTTTGGTGATATACAATACATGACTGATAATACTCTGGACATGGCACTAATTCCTGAGTTGTCCCTAAGGGAAGGCTACGGATGCATTTTCTCACTATTAATTAGAACACAAATTCAAGGATAGTATCTTTCTGACTTTTATTTCTTTGGTACCTGAGAAAATGCACTTTTTTCACATGAAATGTGGGGGTGATTCCATTTTGGTTGAGAAATTGCTGTCAGCCAGGTTTTCCCTTGAGTGCTAGATATATCGCCTCAGAACAGACAGCACAGGAAACTACTGCTTGTTGAACTGACAAGCCATACACGTTTACAATACTTTTGGTCACTGAATCAAAGATTTGCAACTCTTTCTAGGGAACAAGTGTGCACTGTGTGGTTGGTAAAAAAAGAATGCACCTAACAGGTTCAAGAACCTTTTAAGAGTTTGCCACAACTTTTCTTCAGCTGATAATATGAACCTTGCCACCTATCTGAATTACAAAAAATCTTTAAGGATACTCTTTCCCATAAGAGTTATTTTGCTTTAAAAAAAACCACACATTTGGTAAAATCAGTGAAAAAGCAGAACCTGAGGAACTAACCTGGGACTTGCTGGTGTACAACTTCTTCTGGATCCTGCAGGTGGATGAAAACGAGAAGCCCAGCTGCTCCAAACAGAAGGATGAAGGAAAACATGCAGGTCAGCTTCATCATTAATGTCCTCTGTTAATCCAATTTAAGCCCACAGAAAGAAGAAAAGGTCTTCTCTTTGATCCCCAAAGCTTGAGTTGAGGTCAGCATCTCAGTCGGCTTCCTGTTTCAAGGGCCACCTGGTAGAAAGAGCAGTGAACAGCTACTAAATGTCATGAATCTCTAATAAATTTCCTATATGTTGCCTCCTCTCTCCTCCAACCCCCTCCCTGGGCCTAGCAACCAAGAACATGAAACAGCAAAACACGCCATGTGGAGATTTGTTCCAGGGAATGGATGTCCATCTGTATTTTATCATGCTCGCTGCATCTGTTATTCAAAATATTTTAGGATGCTATTTTAACTTGTTAAATTATTGTTTAAGATGTTGTGCCTTGTAAACTGCTTTGAGGAGGCTGTGCCTCAAAAGACAATGTGAATTCTGAAGTTAGGATAGATGTAAGAAGCCACATTCTGCTAAGCGCAATGTATTTAAAAATAAATATATTAGACTAGCATTTTAAAAGAAAAAGAAAAGCAGAACTATCCTATAGTTCATTCTCACTTGTTATAAAAAAAGAGGAAAAAGCTGGGCCCAGGGTTTTTTTTTTGGGGGGGGGAGTTGAGAAAGAGCTTATTTGGCTCTTAGTAAATGGCACTCAAATTGAATCTGAAATAATTTGGGTCATCTCTTCCTCAAGACAAAAAATTAAAATCTGAAATGAAGAAACCCCAAGGACTTGAAACCGTAAAATCTGTGCATGTTTTGTGTGTCCCAGTAAGGAAAGTCTCCCTCAGGGCTACATCAGTGCTGCTAAAAAAAAGAGAGAGAGAAAGAAGAAACTGACAAATCATCCTTCTGCCAACTTGCCCTGTTGCTCTAGGCCCCCTATTACTTTTTTTCCTTTGTTCTTTTTTAGCCCTGTAATTAATATTATCCCTCATTACATGGGGAAAAGAAGACAAGGCTTTTGATAACTTTATACCTACATACTGGAAATTACACGGCATCTTTTAGGTCACATGTGCACGACATTAAACCTATGGATCATGCTAAACTTTCTTCCCTGGCAGAGTTTTTTCTTCTCAATTGCACCTTCACTAAAACAAAAAATAAAAATGGGCCAAAAATATGCCCAGGTGTCCACTTTCCTGTAATGCAGAGGTAGGGAACCGTGGCCCTTTTATGACTTGTGGACTTCAACTCCCAGAATTCCCGAGCCAGCATGTCCGCAAGTTATGAATTGCCCACGGTTCCCTACCCCTGCTAAGGCCTCCATTTTTCCAAGGACACACCTGTGGCTTTCCAGCAGGCAGGAGCAGCTTCCTTTCCTGGCCAAACCTTCTGCTAAAGATCCCAACTGCTAAACAGTGGGAAAACTCTTTTCACACGCAAGCAGGAGTTAAAACCAGTGGATCAACAGGAAGCTTCCTACAGTCTAAATGACTACAAATGCTAAATGAATCAAACCACATTTTTTGAAATGGTTCTTGTGCTCTTTAAAACAGCAATAAAAGAGGAATACCATCTGTGACTTTGCAAAACTTACAACTAATTTGTATAGTCATAATTAAATAAATATCTACACTTTATTATCATCGTTGGCCACATTAATGCATGATTCACTTGGCGAACAGGTCATTCTAAAAAGATATTACCAAGATTCTATTTTATTATATTTTCTGGAAATTGAAATCACAATGCTATTTTTGTTTGGTATATTTTTCTACCAAAAGAAAAGGAAATTACTCCCATTAGCATATATTAACGCTCAAAAGTATTGGGATACTTCTTGGTTATTGTTTTAATTAACACATTGCACTTAGCTGCTATAATTTTAAGATAACAGGGTGCACTATAAAAAAAACTCAAAATCCTCCTTGCAAAAAGAAACATCTGTTTCCAAAGCTTCATATCCCACAAACATTTTGCCCAGGTTAAGACAGTTTTAGAGGCAAACGTCTTTGTGTTGTGTTTTGGGCTTTGCTACATTCTCATTAGCAGTTTCTACCAGCTCTGCGAGATGGACCAACTCCATATCCTGATTTTTCCAAGAAGAATGAGTATGAATAGGCACCCCTAAATCAGCCCTAAGCCTTGAAAAAAGCTTATATACAGCAGAGTATCACCCCCTCCACACACACACACACACACACACACACACACACAGAGAGAGAGAGATGCAAAGGACTGCTTCTTACATGCCTGAGCCATTATTTGACCCCACGTGAGTGAGGGGCAAATGCCGGATCCAACGCAAATAATCAAGAAGAGTGGGAGACACACCCCTGCAGACAAAGAGATGCACTCATATTTACACATTTCAGAAAGGAGGGAAAAATTATGTGTGCATACACATTTCGTAAGTAATAACATAATAGATTTCAGGTTCCTTCCTGCCCTTCTGTTATCTTCAGAGAACAACAGGTCTTAGTTAAAAGAAACATTTGCATCTTGACATTCAGGAGTTGCTATGGGAATGTTCTGATAAAACTTACCACAGGCTGCTGTAAGCTACAAGGACACATTCCTTCTGTCTTAATTTGTCTATTAAACAGTCCTATTCATCTGAAAAATGATTTTCCCCACAATAGGGAAAAAAACATAACCAGGACAAAAAAGCTAACACAATCCGGGGTTTTATAAACAGAGGCATAGAATCAAGATCACGCAAAGTACTAGTACCGCTTTACAAAGCCTTAGTAAGACCACACCTGGAATCCTGCAGCCAATTTTGGTCCCCATATCACAAAAAAGATGTTGAGAGTCTGGAAAAAATTCAGAGAAGAGCAACTAAAATGATCAAAGGCCTGGTGACTAAAACATACGAAGAACAGCTGCGGGACTTGGGTTTGGCTAGTCTAAAGAAAAGAAAAAATAGGGGAGACATGATAGCAGTATTCCAGTATTTGAGGGGCTGCCACAGAGAAGAGGGGGTCACGTTATTCTCCAAATCACCAGAGGGCAGGACAAGAAACAATGGTCCAGGCCTGTGAAAGCAGAGAGGAAGCAGATACCGGAGACCAAGGACTAATGGTGGTACACAACCGCTTGTAATCCTTCTTTCTAGTCCCAAAGAAAGCATCATGAATACAGTAGACTCTGTGCCTTACAAACTGATACACAAACACACTTGTGCGTGCCTCTACCGGTATGCTCACCCACTGCATGCTCTAGCTTAGCGCAAAGACCTTGTTTCCCTCTTGTGCAAAAGACCATAATAATCAGAGCTGAATAAACAAGCTCAAAGCCTTTGCAGTCAAAAAGATTCCGCCTTATAGTTTTCAGGGTACAAATTACCGCAGGGCTCACGGGCTGCTAATCTTCATAATAACATGCTACATCCATTAGTAAGTTAACGAGCGAGTCTTGAAGGTCCTCGATGTGTAGTTTATACTACTTTTGATCCAAAAACTATCATAAGCAGTTTTTTTAATGCTCTTACTCAGATGAAAATCTTCCAGGAGCTCCCTTGGAAGGCTGTAAATAGCAAATGGGGGAACCATTTGGCCTTAATTTCTTCCCTATCAGAACAGAAACAATGCAGGTAGCTGAATCCCCTTTTGGAAATGAGAAGGGAATAGGAATCTTTGCCAGTAGACTCGGAGAGGTAGAGCTTGCAACAGTGGCAAATATCTTTAACTCGGGTGTAGGATGAGGGCGGAAGTTTGTTCTCCGAACTTGTGGGTTGGTTTCTGAACGTTTCGTTACCAGGCAAGGTAGCATCTTCAGTGGAGTTTAGGGAACGTCTGTATCCGTGTTCTTCTGCTTCAAGTGTGGGAGTGTCAAGTGAGGGTCTTGGGATGGGTCTTGGGATGGGTCAGGTGTGAGTCATCAGTCTTGGGATGGGTCTTGTGATGGGGAGGTTACATCAGGTCAGAGTCATTGGGAGGTGAACAGCTTGTGGGAGGAGGGGCTTGTGTGGGTTGGTTGAGGTTTGGTGCCATCTCTGGTTGGCTGTGTGGTTGATTTGGGTTCTAAGGGGCATGTAGGCTGGTTGTAGGTCAATGTGTCTGTTGATGGATGATGTGTCCATAAAAAATGCATGCAGGAAAGACCAAGGATTGGGGGGGAGCTTTCCAATCAATCAATCAATCAATCAATCAATCAATCAATCAATCAATCAGAATAGAGCTGGATGAGACCTTGGAGGTCTTCTAGTCCAACCTCCTGCTCAAGCAGGAATCCCTATAGTATGCCTATACCATTTCCTATAGTATGCCTATACCATTTCAGACAAATGGCTGTCCAGTCTCTTCTTAAAAGCCTCCAGTGATGGAGAAGAAGGCAAAGCAGTTCCACTGGTTAATTATTCTCATTGTAGGAATAGCTGCCTTCAGAAGACAACAATGAGCCAAGAAGTGCTGTGAAAAAAAGTACTGTAGCATTAAGGACACCACGAACTGATAAGTCTGGGAACCTCTGGGTTGGTTTGTACAGAGTCATGTTAATCTTCTTGGGTCTGGAACACTATCCCGTAATTATTGTTGTCGATGTTGTTATCCTGCCTGCCTGAAATTTGTCCTTTGGTAGTTCAACTGCGGTTTATTGTATAAAGCAGGTATACAAAACCATGACTTAGCATAATAGGAACTCAGTAGCAGTCTGCACAGCACAGAGAGCTATTATCATGAGTTTATGCAAGCACAACTACCTGCAGATTTCATGTCTGGTGTTTCTTACAGGAAATACCAAGAAAGTGGCAGAGAAGAAAATGTTAAGTATGATATAATTTTTGCACTTTCATCTATTCCATCAAAGCCATTTCCTCCCCTGCTAGTCCTCTCCTTAATCTTAAAAGTCAAAATGCCTTGAAAAAGGCAAACGCTTTCTCCTTAATGACTGAGCCTTCCATCGGTTTTGTCAAGGTGATTCTTGACTTTTGATGCATTATTCCAGGCGGAGTTCTCCCCTGCTAATCTTGATTTCAGCTATTAATGTAAAACCTCTAGTTAAAGGAAGTTCTGGAAACAAACTCTGCCTTTCACACAGAAGCCACCCACCAGTTAGGAAGAAGCCT